GTTCTTTACAGATAATATGGTTCCATGTTCAATATAGTCTGCCTGGCAAGTAATTTCTATTAAAAAATACAAGCAAAAGTTTTTCATTAATATTCTCTGTAACCACTTGAATCAAAAAGGAATGCCAAATTACTTATCTAAATATTAAAGAAGAAAGAGCTCTATCTGTAATTCTAATCTCATTTTTCATCCCAGCAGGATTCAGGTAGGATCAGGTTGAATAAGTGACTTTTCATCATATTCACTGGGAATGGACAATATTCAATCCTAATGCCATCTACTATTCTCAGTTATTTTCACAATCAAATGAAATGCCTTCAACGTCACCCAGTGGCTTCAGGTTGATGTTAAACAGAAGTGGGGAGGGTGCTGAGCTCTGAGGCAACCTGCAAAGCAGCAGCTGAGCTAGACCTCTCCTCCCATCAACACTGACTAGAACTGGCCCCAGAGGAAGAAGAAGAACCAGTGTAACACAGTGCTGCCCACTCCAACCCTTGAAGGTAGTCCAGAAAGTTACCATGATTAAAAACTGCTGAGACATCAAGTAGAGAAAGGATGGATGCACTACCATCATCCTGCTCCCACCAAAGGTCATCCACAGGTGTGATCAATGCCACTTCAGTTCTGTACTCAGGTCTGAAACCTGACTGAAAGGAGTCCAGATAATCTGCTTCCTTCTGAGTTCTCTGAAGCAGCTGCACCTTTTCAATAACCTTCCCCAGGAAGAATAGGTTGGAGACTGGACAATATTTATCCAGCTAGTAATGGCTTCTTGAGGAAAGAGTGCACTACCGCCTCCTTAAGTGAAGATGGGACCACCTCCTCTCTTAAATAAGAATTTAACACTGCCAGAACCCAACCACATCCCATCTGATGGGAGGCCTTAGCCTACCAGGACTAACAGATTCAAACTCCTGCCAGATAACAACTAGAATGGTTCTCAGTTAGCTTCATGGGGCTTGCCTCAAAGTTAGAATGCAGTTTGGAGTGAATCCAAGCAACTTTATCTAACAGATGCCTAGCACTTTCCTTACAATTCTCCTTAGGAAGGCCTGGGTTACCTTGAACAAAACCAGCAGATGGCTATCTGCAGATGCAATAAGGGCAGATTAATATTGACATTTCACTCCTCTTACCACCATTACATAGGCCTTAGTAGCAGCTCTAACTCATGCTCACTCAGGTTCACTTCTTGTTGTCCTCCAGCAGCACTCTAGACCCCTCTTCTCCCATTTCACCTCCCTTAGTTCCTCTATAAATCAAGAGGAGCTTTGGGTTCCCAGAGGAGATATCACATAGGGACAATCCAATCCAAGACCCCCACTGCCCCCTTGTTCCAGGCAACAACCAATGCCTCAGTTGGACCATACTCCAAACCTTCAGGAACAACCTCAAGCTCCATCTGGAACCCACGGGGGTCCATCAGTTGCCTGGGGCAGACCAATCAAATAGGTCCAGCCTCTCTGTGGCAGAGAGCACTCCAGAGAACTCCAGGGCAATCAAAAAGTGATCCAACCATGACAGAGGAGTGATGGTAATCACTCCAAATCCAGAGCACACTTATTCTTCCCCTCACTCACCTATACATTTTGGGACAGGTGCACTCCAGGTGCCATCAGCTGTACAAGTAATTTTATCAGCTCCTTGAATTTTGAAGGATCCAGTACATCCAAATATCACTATGTCCCCAGATAAAAAATCTTGGTCCAGCTGAACTTTTGCACCCTGAACAATCCTCCCATTTGCTGGTGTTGCTACTGGAAAGCATTTGTTGACTGTAAATCAAGTAACATTGTGATATAAAGTTAATTAAGAAATGTTTCAAACTTGGGAAAAAGGAAGGAAGGAAGGAAGGAAGGAAGGAAGGAAGGAAGGAAGGAAGGAAGGAAGGAAGGAAGGAAGGAAGTTAGTTCAGTATATATAAATTGAAACTCATGTTCAACAAAAGGATTTATTCTCAAATTATGCTGCTTTCCCACCCTCAAGCGAACACATTAATTATCTAAAGATGCTCACACTGGAGCAGAACTTAGAGAGGGAAATTTGAAGACATATGTAGGGAATTAGTTCACTAAGCCAACCTCTTCAGCAATTTTAGACATTGGCTATAATAGACATACTGCAAAGTGTGAGATAAACATCAGTCAATCATACATATTTAAAAATCTGGTGATCTATGCAGTGTAATTTCTGGCAAAATGGCAAATTCAATGTTTTTTATTCTGAAACCAAAACAAATAATGTCATTTTACCAATCGCACTGTGATCAATAAAATAAAAAATATATTAAAGAAATAGATCAGTGTGCATATTCTCAGTCTGAATAGGAATCTTTTACTCCCTCACAATGGATAATTGAGCAAATAATGGGACATGGGTTATCATCAGTTGTATTATTATTGCAGTAATTGTAGCAATATTCATGTAGAATATATTTTTTAACCAATAATGACATCAGCAAAGAAATAATTTATCCCACTTGTATATCCCAAGCTAATACTGAGACATCTTAATAAAAAATGCAATACAAGATTAGTTGAAGCAGAAATTATCAAGCTTTTGGTGGTTTCAAAGTTTGAAAACTTGTTCTATATGTTTTCATAAAATGGACTTGTCTGTGTAAGCTAATTAAATGTGGGCTGAACGACACAACAAATGGATAGATAGATTACTCAAAAATTGGAGATTGAGGGGTGTATCAGGTGAGATGCCATAACGGTCCAACGATTTAGATGAGGAGCTGAAGTAATGCTTAACAAATCTAAACGTGAAAGAAAAATTGGGTGGAATAGCTAATACAAAAATAACATTAAAATGGTTTAGACAGAAATTGGCTGACAGTAACATAATGGAGTTTAACAGAGACAAATGCAAAGTTCTTCACTTAGGACACAAAAATCCAATAAACAAGTATAGAATGAGGAAAACCCAGCTTGGTAATGGTACTTGTGAAAAAGATCTTGGAATAGTAGTGAATTGCAAACTGAACATCAGCCAACCATGAGATTTCACTAAAAAAAAAAAAAAAGCCTCATTATAACTTTAATTTCCAAATCATGGGAAATGAAAGTAAATGAAATGAAATACTGCTTATTTGGTCAATGACCAGCAAAGTTTGAAAAAATTACAACACAAAAGTAAAATAAAATAGATAAAATACTTGCATAACAAAAAGATAAAATAACAAATAAAAATGTAACATACACTACTATAATGGTGTCTTAATTACCTGTGCAATTGTAAATCTAAAATTTTATAATCTATGAATTAAAATATATATCACCTAAAACAAGATAGCTACATGTATTAAATCTGAAGCAATGAATAAAAGAGAAGTGGTTATATCTGTAACCAGTTATGCCTTATTTTCATTGCAGCAACCCAGAATTTGGCTACAGCACAAGTGGTAAAGGGTTTTGAATCTTCTAGATGATGGTTCACAGAAACATTTACATATTAGGGGTAGAATAAGCAGGCCTGATATCCCTGTAGAATTTACAATATAATAATACATGCAGCTTCTGAGTGAAGACAATGGCAGACTAAGACATCTCCAGAGGAGCAGAGATTATGTTGCAACAGAGACTGGTGGTTGGGTGACAAGCCCGGGTCAGCGAAGCCTCTCTGGATAAGGAGAGGCCAAGAGATGGCCCACTTGTGCTCCGGAAGGCTGCTCCTTATGAGGAGACCACAGGACTTGATGGTCTTTGCTGTTGACTCATGAGTCTGAGCAGCTGAGAGACATAGGAAAGTCAATGAGCTCACAGCCACAGCGGAGCCTTTAAGGATACTGGGTTCACTTAAAACTTCACTCTCTTAAGCAAATTTGGATTATAATTATTTTAAAGCTAAAGAGAACAGCAGAACAATCAACCTATCAACAACAACAACAATCAACCACTCATTCTGGATTTAAAAAAAAGTAAAATAACAATTTTAAGAATTTACAATCAACAGCAAAAAGCTTGACAAGAATTTGAACTAAGAAAGTTTTAAGCAGATTAAGGGGTTTAAATTTGACAGTAAAATTTGAAATATTATTTTTATGAAAGTGCTTTTGAAATAAATAAATAAATAAATAAATAAATAAATAATATATACCTTCATGGGAACGCAGATTGTTTAGAATTTTAGTGAAGAGGCAATTGTCAAACTTTGCAAAATAAAAAGATAAAGGAAACCTGAGATGGACCATGTGACTATTCAATTACAGAGTGTCGGAGGGGACCAAAGATTAAGGACATAGAGAAAAGGCAAAAGAGAGAAAAAAAGAAAGAAAAGCCTCCCTTTTACTTTTGTACTTGACTCATTTTCTCTTTCTGGATTACAGATAAAAGAAATGGATACTACTAGAAAAGCAGCAAAACTTGGAGAAGGAAGGAAAGGATCCTTAGAGCAACCAACAGAAAAGGGGATTACTCCAGAGATATTACAAAAAATGTTTGAACAGTTAGGAAAGAATGTATCTGAATCTGTCAGACGAGACTTGGGTGCATTTGAAGGGAGAATGGAAGAAAGATTCATAAACATGAAAGAGAAAATGAAAGAAGAGATTTAAAAAAACCTTGAAAAACCTGTAGGCCGATTTACTGGAGAGGTGAAACAAATTAAAAATAAAGTGGAAATTTCAGAAAGTAAAACAGAAATTATAAACAGAGAGATGGAAAAAGATTTAGGCAATCTGGCACTATTGGGATTTAGAGAAAAAGAATTCTGCTTGAGATTAGAGTGATTCCAGAGGACCATTGTGAAGATCCCAGAGGGAAGGTTATTTAATCTTTAACAAAATTTCTGGAATGGGATGAAAATGATATGGAGGCAGAGATAGACAAAGTATATGCGATCAGTGCACGTTATGCAAAGTTAAGAAATGTACCAAGGAATATCTTGTGCAGTTTGTCAGGAAGAAGACAGGAAACCAAGTTCTGCAGCAACATTTTAATACCAGGTTGAAGATTAACAACACAGATGTAATGGTACTTAAAGAAATTCCGATCAGAATATTACAGAAGAGAAAACAATATTTCTTTTTGACTGACAAGCTCAAACAGAAAAAGATACCATTTCGTTGGGACAAATTAGAAGGAGTGTGGTTGAAAGAACTGAAATTTATACTATGTTACAACTTAAAAGAGAATTATTGCAAAATGATGTACCATTGGTATATGACACCAGAAAAATTATCTAGGGCATATAAAGGTACTTCCAATCTATGCTGGAAATGTGGAAAACATAAAGGGTCATATTACCATGCATGGTGGACTTGTAAAAAAGCTAGAAAATTCTGGGTACAAATGTATACAATGATACAAAGAAATTTAAAGATTAACATTCAGCTGAAACCAGAATTTTTGTTGTTGTTGTTGGGGCTTATGGATAGTCAACTAGAAAAGACTCGTGGAAGTTTGTTTTTGTACATGGTAACTGCAGTGAGACTATTAAATGCACAGAGATGGAAAGATACTGAAATACCCACAATGGAGGAATGGCTGGTGAAGATGACAAAATTTGCAGAAATGGCAAAATTGACTTGCTTGATTAGGGAAAAGATAGTAAGGATATTTATTAGTGACTGGAAACTTTTTGTGGACTTTTTGCTGAAAATGGGGAAAAAATGACCTGGTAATTTGTGGATTTGATTATTATAAAGGGTAAAATATGAGAAGAAGGGAATCATGATGTAACTTTAAAGAGGGAAGATAGACAATAAATGTATTTGTAACTGCTATAAAGAAGATTGGAAGCCCTTCCCTTCCCTTCCCTTCCCTTCCCTTCCCTTCCCTTCCCTTCCCTTCCCTTC